TGGTGCAATCAGTCGAGATCGATAAAATATTTATTTAAATATGTACATAAGGGTAATGACCGTCTGACTGCTTCTTTTTACCAAAGCAAGACCGATGAAGAGAAGGCAGTCGTGGATGAGATCAATATGTATTACGACTGCCGCTATGTTTCATCTTGCGAGGCAGCATAGAGACTGTTGTGATATGAGATTCAATATAAGTACCCTCCTGTTGAACGTCTAAGCTTTCATCTTGAGAATGAGCATCATATTTTATTCAATGATTATGAAAGAATAGATGATGTAGTGGAAAAGAATGAGGACAAAACCAGCATGTTTCTGGAGTGGATGGAAGCAAATAAGATATACCCAAAAGCTAGAAAACTCACTTATGTCGAGGCTCCTCAACATTTTGTTTGGGCAGATGATAAGAAGTGGTACACAAGAAAACAAAGAAACAAGATTGGTAGACTTCCATATGTGCCTCCGGGATGTGGCGATGCCTATTACCTCCGTATTCTTCTAAACTTTGTTCGGGGTGCAACTTGTTTTGCTGATTATAGAAAGATTGACAATGTCCAGTACGAAGCATATCGTGAAGCATGTTATGCTTTGGGCGTATTGGAAGACGATAAAGGAGTATATTGATGGGATAACCGAAGCAAGCCATTGGGCCTCTGCTGAGTCATTACGTTGCATGTTTTCGTCTTTACTATCTTCAGATTCTGTGGCTCGACCAGAACATGTATGGGAAACGTGTCGGGAGCTACTATCTGATGATATTTTATATAATCGACGAAAAATATTGAATTCTCCGGGTACAAAGAATAAAAAAAAGAATCATTGTTTAAATAATGTCGTTACATAATATTTTGGATATGACTTATTAAAATAATTACATTGCAGAATTGAATCTTGGCAAGGACGAGATAAAAAACTTGGCTCTATGCGAAGTTGAGAAGTCATTGCAAAGACATGGGAGGAGTCTACGAGATTTTGACTCTATGCCTTACCCGACTATTGATGATCGTTAGATTAGTCGGAATAGGATGCTGCTTGATGAACTCAACTACGATCGAAAAGCTATGGCAGTTGAACATGATAAGCTATTGTCCACAATGACTGTTGAGCAACGTTCCGTATATGAAACCATAATGAAATTTGTGCCTTTGTAATGATGGTGGTCTATTTTTTGTTTATGGTTATGGTGGTACTGGAAAGACATTCTTGTGGAGAGCTTTATCTTCATGTCTTCGATCTAAAGGAAAAGTTGTTCTTAATGTGGCATCAAGTGGAATAGCATCTCTTCTATTACCTGGGGGAAGAACTGCAAATTCTAGATTTCGCATTCCATTTCAGCCAAATGAGGACTCAAGTTGCAATATAAATCAATTGAGTCCACTTGCAGAGTTGATTATTCGTGCATCCCTTATAATTTGGGATGAAGCTCCTATGATGAATAAGTATTGTTTTGAAGCTCTCGATACCACGTTTACAATAATGTTTGATATCGATCCATCAAATAAGCATAAAGTGTTTGGAGGAAAAACGATTGTTTTTGGTGGAGATTTTCGGCAAATATTACATGTTGTGCCCAAAGGAAGTCGACAAGACATTGTTAATGCAACGATTAATGTATCTAAAATTTGGAGAGATTGCCGAGTTTTGAGATTGACTAAAAACGTGAGACTTCTGAGCCATGGCGAAAATGAAGAGTACCATAAATTGGCTGAGTTTACCGAGTGGATTGCAGGTATTGGAAATGGAACAATTAAAGGAAGCGAAGACGGTTGTGCGGATATTGACATACCTGGTGAATTTTTGTTGCAGAATTCTGATGACCCTATCGCAACCATCGTGGAAAACACTTATTGCATTGATGATCCCATCTATTTGAAAGATAGAGCTATATTAGCTCCAACATTAGATGTTGTTGACTCCATCAATGAATATATGGCATCTTTAAATCAATCGAAGGGTTATACTTATTTAAGTTCTGACAGCACATGCAAATCCAATGATGGTGTTGATTTCCTGCATGAACTGCACACGTCGGAGTTCTTAAATAGCATAAAATGTTCTGGTGTTCCAAATCATGAATTGCACTTAAATGTTGGGACTCCTGTCATGTTGTTGAGAAACATTGACCATTCGATCGGCCTGTGTAATGGAACATGCTTGGTGATAACGAAGCTTGCCACTAACGTGCTTGAATGTAAGATTCTAACAGGATCAAATGCTGGACATAAAGTATTGGTACCAAGACTTTCCCTAACTCCATCTGATCTCAGGACATAAAGTATTTGCTTCAACACTTAATTATTAGTCATTTGTCCTTAAGAAGTTAAATATTACCCTCTTAAGTTGTTACAACACACTCCTAGAAAATAGCTGTGTTTACTTTGTCCAAATAATCTTTTATTATATCACAATTACAAGAAAAACATCCTCTGATGTTGAACCCGACCAAAAAAATCCATAATATTGAACCCGGCAAGAAAAAAGTGTTGAACCCGACAAAAAAAAAAAAAAAAAAAAAAAAAAAAAAAAAAAAAAAAACAAAAACAAAAAACAAAAAAACCCTTGAAATAAAACCAGATCTTTTTCCCATAAGGTGATTGAAAAGGAGAAGAGTAACATGAGCAACGAGAAAAATCGAGCGAAGTGGAGGACCCAAAGACTATGAAAAGTTATCACAGACTTTAAGAAACAAAGGACTACAGAAGATTCAAGCCCGACGAATAGCATTCCTTTGGTGGGTAGATGAGGGATAATGGAGAGAATGTCGAACCCAAACAAGTTGTCAACTTTTCGTGGAGTATCGTGACTTTTATGGTAAGTAACTCTTGTTAGAATTTAGGATTTGAGATACATTTAATTCTAAATTTGACATGTTGTCCATTAAATAAAGTTAAAAAAAAAAAAATACATTGTTGATCAACTTTTTTAACTAACAATTGAACATTTACAAATACAAAATAAAAAAAATAAAAAAAAAATAAAAATGAAAGGCATGAGGAAACTATATCAATAAATATGAAAAGAAAGATGATCATAATTTCAATCAACAGTGAGTGAAGACAAGGGTTCAGAAGTCTGTAAGTGTTCATAAGGATTCAGAATATCCTGGTAATGCACAACATGTCAAAGAGTTGGTATGCCCAACTACACAACACAAAGCATAAATGAAAACACCCAGAGCCAAGCCAACTCCATCTGAGACATGTTGTTTGTAGCACTAATACGGGGGCGGATGCTGCGAATTTGGGGCGACTGCACGCACATCAATAAGAAATAATAACAAGAAAAGTTAGAGAAAAGACTGCAATTCCGATCATTGATCAAATGTTGATTCGATTAAACTTTAAAAGGCAAAATCATAGACACCATCTTTTGGGAATAATTATTTCATGCACGTACCGAGTTTAAAGGCCCGTTCATTAAGCCAATTTTCTAGTCTTCGATCAATCCAGAACCCGACTAAAATGCACAAGGCTCCCCTTCACAAACCAAAGAAAACAAAAAAAAAAACAGGTAATCAGGACTATACATGCTTCCATCCACACATCTAAACCGTGAAAATTGTAGCGATATCAATTATCGAGTCCAAGCACTTTGGTTATTCTATTGACAACCTCAGAGCAATAATCGACACGTAAAAGAAGCATCATAATGAGTCTATCCAAGCATAATAATGAGTCTATCTAAGCATCCACAATGACCAATTAATTAGTAGAAACTACTCGTCATGTGAATAGAATATATAGAGAGAAACCAACTTCATCATAAGCACGTCCTCTTTGGCCGAGACACATCGAGGCAAAAGGGGATCTCGTCTAATACGAGCCACCCTATTAGCAACGGTTCTGCCCTCCAGCACATGCTCTGCTAGTATGTCTACAGTCCTGAGAACAGCGTAACCCTCAGCAAAAATTTCCACGAAACCTTGGAGAACGTGTTGGTTTTTCAAAAGCTCCATCACTTTTTTAGCATGCTTTTCTTCATCAGACTGAATGGCCTCCAGAAGTTCTTTTGCTGATGGGATGAGTTCGGGATGTTCTTTTACAAGGTGCTGGGCCATATCCAAGAGCTCCTCCTGCGTCTTGTCCTGCAGCATATACATACATATCAACCGCAGAATTAAGAAATCGACGATAAAGTCCCACGTCACTACTAATAAACGATATGAGCATACTCTTTCAAATACTATGGTAAGAGGAGATAAACGTTTGTCCGCTTCATCTACCGATATCTTATTATGCATTCCATCGTCCTCATCATCACCAAGTAAATAGTCATAGTAGTCAAAGTCAGAATGAGACCCACTTGGCGCAAGCTTCCCTCTTTTCTGCCTGGGTAGAGCTTTTCCATCCTGAAAATAAATTCCAGTTCTTTTGATTGAGTTCTCTATCAGGCCCACTACTTCTAGTCGAAAAAAAAATCGAGTAAACCATCAATCA